ACAGTAATCAAATGTTTTAAATATTCTGTAGTATTAATGGGTAAGTTACGAAATGTTTAACTAACAATTTATTGACATTAAGTGGAACTAAGGCTCGAATTTTCAACTCAAAAACTATTTATATGGGACGGCTGAAAGATAAGGTGCTCCGTTTTGTACAGTAATCAAACGTATAAAAATATTTAAAAAATAATTTTGATCAGATATATATGGCTTGCAAGAACCTTTTTCGTCTCCAAAACCTACTCGATTTCTGATTGGCTTAACACCGAGAAAAACCAACAAAAAGCGATTAAAGCCTTCACTGCTTAGCAACGGCATACGATATCGTACCCAGGACGCTGAGTCCCCGTTACAAAGATCTGCCTATTCCCTCACGGCCAAAGAAACCGAAGTAGTCCCTTGCCGTAGGGAATCTTTAAATCCCTGTAAATTAACTATAACCCGCCCTTTTCCATCTGATTTCCCGCCCAGAAAACCATGGTGATGTTTTATTTTTATTTTTATTCAATCAAGATTAATTTGCAAAAATTAACCAACCCTAGGGGTGGATTAGAAACGCCTTCAAGTTAGCATTCAAAAACAGCGTTCATTTCATTATGACAGCCTATTAGTGATTTAGAGGATTTTTATTCAGTAGTTCGTGTATGGTCTCCATACGTACAAGGAATAAAAAATTTGGGAGGGAAACTTTGCGAAATCTTAGTCCATTTGCTGATATCGCTTATAATTCATTCATTCATATCACTGTCTAGTTTCGCCAGGCTTGCGATTTACGTGATTCAGGATCAAACAGGCGAAACAGGTTTGCTCTCTTCATCCGGGCCACGTGCAGTCCATTGGATAAAATACGATCCACTAGGTCCCAGGCTGCCAGATGATCGTTTACACCCTCGTCCAGTCCTAAAAAGGCAGGATTTATGTTGTTGAAAGAAAGACTGTGCAGAGATATCTTTGGGCGACAACTAACGCTGTTTTTACAATCTGAACACTATTGTATTTTCTTGGTTTCTGATGCCTTATTTTTCTAACGAGGTAACTAGAAGCCTAATGCTTCTACCGCTCGGGAAAGGACCCACAACATTCCATTCTGATGACGCAACAGGACAGAGAATTTGTGCTGTGTTTCTGATTGTTTTTGCTGGGTTCAAATTTTTTTGCGAAAGTAACAATGAAACTGAGACATTTGTTTGTTTTGGGCACAGTGATAAACAATCTTTCATCTTTCAAAATTAATATTCGAATTCAAGAAAATGGTAGAAAATCTTCAACCTACCTCCAATCCGTTCCCAATCTTTCTTAAACATGCCAATCATTTGGTAACCGTGGTTATGCCATGAACCCTTCGGTTTCTTAGGGTATGCCCCGCAGTCCAGGCCATAAAAGACTGGTGCAAAAGTCATCTTCCCTTCAATACAATGCTGAAAAAAAGCAAGCATATTACATTAAATTGATTGACAGTGAACCCGAAAACGATCAGCATGACCTCAAGATACAACTTGTTTAATTCAACGTTTCAAGCTTAGCATTTTTTGCAGTCGAACACGAGCAAGCCTTGTTGAGTTGTGTTACCTTGAGAAGAACAGTGACCCGTTTTTGCGCCACGTCCCTAAGAGAAACAGTGGGCGAGACAAGTGTCGTTGATTTTGACAAATCTTTGTTAAAGCACGTAAGGTCTTAGATTTTTACTATCCAATCAAGAACAGCGCAAGCACTCCAGGCTATTCCGAAGTTGCCACTCCCTCATGACGTTATCGGTTGCTTATTTCACAACTTCCAGCCGAAACCTGTGAGCTAGCTAGGGTCGATCTTGAAGACCGGAACTCGTGCTATATATTGGTACTTGTTCCATTGACTTTACAGGGCTCTTTCCACATATGGCTACACAAGTATACAATAAAATTGATCTTGGTAGTGACCGAAAAGGAATGCGAACTCCGGAAATAAATACAGCCTGAATTTTCAAGATTCTCTTGACTATACGTTTTAAAATGGGCGAAAAACCAAAGACTACTTGAGAAACAAAACTATTGGAACGCTGATTGAAGTTTGAGTTCGTCCTCAATTTTCCGCACTCCCCTCTCCTGAGGCAAAGTTGGAATATTGGATGATCAGCATCAGCATTGTGTCAGGGGGGGGGGGACAGGGGGCAAAAAGGCAAAAGGTCCCAGTTAAAACTTCTAGCATGGGATTCTAGTCTATATCATCTAATCGCAGTAGCTTTACTAAGAACGACATTTTCTGACGCTACATAGGAGGATAAACCTCACCTTGCGGCAGTCTTCAAATATTGAAGCCTGTAAATACATGTGAACATCACTAGTGACAACAATGCCTTGTGAATCCTCAACCAGTCTTACTCCAGAATTAATGGCTCGCGTCCAAGAGAATTCTCCTTCCAGCTGTTTAATTTTGTACTTCTGTAGAGAAGTACCTTGGAGAATTCTTTCAATATCTAGTCCTGACTTCCCAGAGTGTACAATCACAAGATGCAAATCTACCTCGAGACTTTCCTCGAAAATTTGTTCAATTTTTTCTATGAATCGATGCAGCCGCTGACCTTCATGATCGACGGCGATGATCAAATGAACTACAGCTTCTTTCTTCCAACCCAGATCCCTTGGATAATAGAGCTGCGCGTCCTTATTTTGCATTTTGTCTTTTTGAAGATACACATACTCAGCGACTCGCTCTGTGTAGTCCAAGGCATCGCAGCCTAATTCGATCTCAAGGAAGTATAGGATTGAATTGTTCTCTTCTACTGTTGGGAAACGTTCTAGGTTGAGGAGCCTTACAATGTTGTATTTTCTGAAAAAAATAGAAAGAAAACGATATTAAAACCCCTTGAGAAATAAATAACGCATCTACTCTGTCGTCATGCCAGCCCTACAGTCTATCAAATAATTTTCTTTAATTTTAAGAGAACATTGAAGAATTACATAGTACAGCTTATAAATTAACTATACACATAGTGAATTCAGAACAAGATACCTTATTACATGAAATTTTCGCGACACGTTAATTTCGCGATTTTGCGAAAATTTTGCATTTTGACTCACTTTAATTTCGCGTTTTTGAGTGAAAC